AGTCACCTGGCTCTGATTTAGTTGCAAATACCAATGAACATCCCATTGGATTCAATTTAGATGGGTAGGCACTGGGAATATAAACACAAAATGAAACAATCCCTGCAATCAAGGAGATTACATTCTTCTGGGGAGAAACATGTAACAGCAAATGATTTTTTATGTACACATATAAGAAATTTAGAGGCTTGTAATAAGAAGACAAATTGGGAAAACCTTATGTAGGAAGTGATTGGTCACCTGATTTATGATTCAAAGTAAAGTAAGGATTCTAAGAGGTGGAGATGAGGAGGAGAGTTTATTCCAAGCATGAAGAATTACTTGTGCAAAGGTGTGGAGGTAGGAGATATGACACTGAGTACAAGAGGCAACAAATCAGACAGGAGTTTGGCAGGGATGTGAAGTGTGTGAAGAGGAATTATTAGCTGTTGTTCAGTTGTTTTTCACTCATGTCTGACTCCTCATGACCCCATTTGGGGTTTTCTTGGCAGAGATACCGGGGTGGTTTGCAATTTTCTTCTCCAGCTCATTTTATAGATGAGGAAACTGAGACAAACAGGATTAAGTGACTTGCCCAAGGTCACAGCTAGTAAATGTCTGAGGCCAAATTTAATGTCTTCCTGATTCCAGGCCCAATGCTGTAACCACTGCATAATTTAGCTGCCCAAATTATTTGTAGCAAGCCTAAAAATGTAGAGTGAACCCAGACCACAAAGGGTTTAAGATCCCAAGCAGAATAGTTTATAATCAGAGGTTCACAAACTTATTTGGCCTACCACCCTGTTTTCAAAAAAAAAAATTCTACTTTCTTTAACCCTTTAAAAGTTTTTTTTTGAAGTTTGCATCATTTCAAAAAATATGAAATATTTTTAAATGACACATCTTAAATTTAATAATTTATTGTAAATTTGTGGGTATTTTTCCTACATTGAAATTTTGATGATGCAATATTGTGTGATGTAACCATATAGTATCATATTGTAAACAAGTCATTACACACACATATTCTTGTAGATGCATGCTGGACTTCCCAACAATGTGTGACATGCTCACCTGCCAACACTTACATGTTAAGACCTGTCAGCAGACTTGGCCATTGATTAGTTATAACTTCTGTTTTGTGTGTTTATTTGGAAAATAATGTAATCACTACAACTTTAACTCTGTTACACAATAGATGAAACATGTATGAATGGTTTTTCAAAATTTTCTTCTCTTCTTTTCTTTCCTTATGCTTCCACTGCCCTCTTGTTTTTATTCAACACCCCTCAATTTCACCTGAGGCTACTACTGCCCCCTAGATTTTTCCAGTACCCCACAGGAGGTGGTATCTCCTACTTTAGGAACCTCTATATTTTATCATAGAGGCAATAGGGAGCCAATGAAGCTACTCGAGCAGGGGAACAAAATGGTCCAAGCTACACTTTAAGAGATGATGTGTATATTTAAGCACAATGCAAACTTTAAAAGGCTATATAAATGACAACTATTATCATTACTATTATTATTACTCTAGGCGCAAAAAGATTAAAAGAAATGCATATAATTGAAGAGGTAGACTTCCATCTTTAGAACATGGTATGGTACGTGCCAGGCAGCATTATCTTGCTCCCCACAGCCCGGGGCTCTAATGAGAACCAAACACAGTCAGTCAACAGCAGTTATTGATCTCACTGCTTACAGAGTGCTGTACAAACCTGTGGGAGAGAGGAAAAAGGCAAAGGAGAACATAACAACTATTATATTAAAAATTCACAGAGAGTGATTTACTGGAGAGCTGCCAAACAGACCTTTTTTTTTTAATACAAAGTCGCCAATTAGGAATGATAGATGATATATCTTTATTATACATTAAGACTGAGCTCCAGTGTCACCTCTCTCAATAAATGGTAATATACCTATGTGAAGAAACTCTAAGAGGGTTCTATACAGGATCTTTTTATAATTGAATAAATCAGGAGGCCTATTTGTGAACTCTATTTTTACAAATAAATAAATGATTATAAGATAGGTAGGAAGAGTCAAGTCAATTCAAATTATATAATAACAGCTCAGAAGGCATAAAATCCATTCATGACTCATACCAACATAATAGAAGCACTACTGAATCTATATAATTCAGTCATTTACCAGAAGGTCATTGAACACCTACTGCATGGTTCAGTGCTCAGGACTGTTTTATTGCTTTTAGATCTGTCTGTTTCTGTTTCATAGTCTTAAGGCTATGAAGACTGTTGAAAATAATCCTGCAACTATTCCTGTGGGGACTTCTTGGAGAAGATAGTCACTTGCATTAATAGAATGTCCACCTGGCATGAGTTAGACAAGCCTTTGCCCAATTATATAACTTCCTGGGGCAGCTAGGTGGTGTAGTGGATAGAGCACTGGCCCTGGATTCAGAAGGACCTGAGTTCAAATCCGGCCTCAGACACATAACACTTACTAGCTGTGTGACCCTGGGCAAGTCACTTAACCCCATTGCCTAGCAAAAAACAAACAAACAAAAAAACACTTATATAACTTCCTTCCCTTCTTTCTTTTCTCTTTCACTCAGACATCTTAACAAAGTTGTCTATACCTAGGCCACTAGGTGACACAGTGGATAGAGTGCCAGACCTGGAGCCAGGAAGACTCCTCTTACAGAGTTCAAGTCCAACCTCAGGCACTAACTAGCTGTGTAACCTTGGGCAAGTCACTTAACCCTGTTTGCCTCAGTTTCCTTATCTATAAATTGAGCTAGAGAAGGAAATGGCAAAGTATGTAGTATCTGCCAAGAAATTAACCTCAAATGAGGTCATGAAGAGTCAGACAAAACTGAAAAGCAACTGAACCTCAAATATACCCGATACCTCAGTTTCCTCACTACCCTGATTATTAATCACTTGCAATATGTTTTTAACCCTATTACTCTGCTGAAATTGTTCCCTTAGAAGCTACCAATGACCACTTTAAACTTATCAAATCATGACAATGCACAATATTTTTGTTGTTGTTTTTCAGTCATTTTCAATCATGACCAACTCTTTGTAACCCCACTCAGGATTTTCTTGGCAGGTACTGGAGTCGGTTACTATTTCCTTCTCTAGCTCATTTTAGAGATGAGTAGTCAAACAGAGTGAGTGACCTGCCTGGGGTCACACAGTCTAGTAAATGTCTGAGGTCAGATTTGAACTCAGGAAGATGAGTCTTCCTGACTCCAGACCTGGCACCCTATCCACTGGGCCACCTGCCCATACAATGCACAATATTATCGACGTTTAATCTTTCAGCTTTGACTTTGCCAAAACTGGCTCCCATTTTTCCACTGATACTTAATTTTTGGAATGACAAAGAACTATCTATGCTTGTTCTCTGCTTTCATTTTCATTCACTGATTATATCCCCAAACCCATTAAGTGTTTTAAGCTTGCAAGGCTGTCTTTGATGTCTTCTAATCAGCCAACTTTTGCATGTTCCACTGTCTTACTAAAATAATTATTTTGCTATTTCATCATCAGAGTCAGATGACCTCCTAGCAGCAGGCAGGGACATGTTGAGGATTCCAGTTTTGGGGGTTGAACATCCCAGGGTAGGACAAGAATATAGCACTATAATATCTAAATAGAAATTGTCTTTGAAGTGAACTGTTCCCTCATAACTCACCCTCATACCTAGTGTTTCCTAGGTGAATATGTGTGTATTTGATGAGAGTAGTTTTTTCTTCTTATTGTAAAATATTAGAAAAGAAGAATCTTTAAAGATTATCTAATCCAGCACTTTCATTTTCAAAGGAGGAAACTTGTTCTACCACCTATGAAACTAACTTAATGTTGCTTTGAAATTATACAAATACACATACATACATAATGCAGTTCTTCTAATAGAGGAGGCTCTCCAAATACATAAGAAGATCCCTTCTGAAGAATATTAAGCAGAGTCATCAATTGGCCTAATACTGGATTCTAAGAGAGAGACTGCCTATGGTCACACAGTTCATAAGTGTTGATGGTTGGACATAAATTCAAGTCTTGCTGACTGCAAGTCAGTCTGCTGTAAACTATATACTTCTGCCTTTCATATCTCCTCATGTCTCTCTCCATAAAAGGTGTCCCAAAACTCTTAGTGAAGTTTTATGCTACTAAGCACTTAAAATAGCTTGTTATAGTTTAACCTCAATGTTCCATAACAAGATGACTCCATCTCTCAGGTTCCTGGAATTCTATCTGGCTATCTCCTGTGCCCAGAATGCTCTCCCTCTTCTTCTCTGAATACCGACCTCTCTGGCTTCTTTTAAGTCCCCATTAAAATCTCACTTTCTACAGGAAGCCTTCCCCAATGCTTTTTAATTCTAGTGTCTTCCCTCTGTTAATTATTTCCTATTTTTCCTGCATATAACTTGCTTTGTAAATATGCATTTACACATTGTCCTCCCCATAAGGTTGTAAGCTTCTCGAGAGGAAGGACTTGTCTTTTGCCTCTTTTTTTGTATCCCTAGTGTTTAGCACAGTGCCTGTCATATTGTAAGTACTTAATAAAGTTTATTGATTGATTAAGCTTTCAAAGCTAAGACTTTGGGGACACCTTGTATTTAGAGATCGATATGTATACACTTTGTCATTGCTGTCCAGATCTCTGATTTCTCTGGTCTCATCATATTTACAGTATGGAAATTTCCTTCACTGATACAAATCATCATCAACCCATCTGTAATTTAGAATCTTGAGTATTTGCCTGAGACCTGAAAAGTTAAGATACTTATCTACAGTTACCCAGTCAGCATATGTCAGAGATAAAACTTGACTCCGGGTCTACCTGACTCCAAATTCAGTCCTTTTCCTGCATATACCTCTGTGTGTGTGTGTGTGTGTAATATATATATATATGTATGTATGTATGTATGTATGTATGTATGTATGTATGTATGTATGTATTATATACATATGTAAATATATACACTTATAAATATACATGAAGATATATTCCCATACTTTTAAAGAGCTTGAAGTAATTCTCCTGAGTCTCTATTCAGATTCTTTCTGAGGAAACAAATTAGCATTGTGAAAATGTGAGTTGAATATTTTACCAAGGAGAATATACTTCAATGCTTTGCGAAACCAAGGATAGAAGAAACCATATATCAAAGGATTGCATGTGGAGTTGAAATAGCCTAACCAGGTCAAAGCATCAAATAATACTGCAGGAGTAGAAAAGTTTAAATATGGATCAAGTAAAATTGTGAAGAAGCAAGGAAACCAGCATAACAAGAAGACGCCCATCACTATCCCCAAGGTTTTGGCTGCCTTCTTCTCCTTCTTCATTTGGCTAGTTTGATTTTCAGGGATGGCGTTGATTGCACGAGCATGTTTTTTGGATACGGCAAAAATTTTGCCATAAATTCCTACCATCACAGAGCTTGGGGTGAAGAAGCCTGCCATAAACAAAGTGGGGCCCCATAGCTTGTTGAACATCACTGGGCAAGAACTGGAACATGCAACCAGAACATCATAGCCTTCTATTCCATCAGCATATGCCTCAGAGAAAACCACCCCAAAAGCAAATGCTCCTGGTACCGACCAACAAAGAAATAGCAACCTCTTTACTACTGAAATGGTCATTTTGGCAGAATAATGCAAAGGGTAGCATATGGCATAAAACCTGTCTATAGCTACAGAACAAAGATGGAAGATTGATGTTATGCTTAGCATCAAGTCAAAGCTGTAATGGATCTTGCAGAAAAGGATTCCAAAATACCAGCAGTTCTCCACAGACCGGATCATGCTGTAGGGCATAATGCTGAATCCCAGGAGAAAGTCAGTGCTTGCCATGGAAAGGATGAGAAAATTGGTTGGAGAATGAAGCTGTTTGAAATAGGAAATAGAAATAATCATAGCAAGGTTTCCAAAAATAGTAATGAAGATAGCCCCAGACATAAATAGATACATGGCAGTTCGAATACCTATTGGCCTGTTATTCTCTGGGCATGATCCATTTCCAAATTCCGAGCAGTCAAAGGCTACCTTCAGAAAAGCAAGAATATATAAGGCTCTGTCAGGCAATATTTTACATGTTGATACTTTGCAAAAATGCCTAGAGTAATTCAGAAATACAGTAATTCAGACATTAACAGGCAGATCAAATACTTCAATTTTCAAATTTTATGAGGTTTTCTATTTCCACTCATCTTATATTTCTTTGCACTTTCATACAAATCCATCCTGATGACTATAAATAAATAGAATTGCTTTTAGAACATTTGAAGATTCACAGTTTTAAGTTATTCATCTTCACAGTGCATATGTCTTGAAATGGATATCAGTAATTCAATAAATTCTTGGCTTCTAAATGTGAATCCAAATAGTTTAATTAAATTGAGGAGTCAGACAAATTCTTTGCATCAAGTATAATTTAATAAAGGTTTCATATCTCTTTTAATACCTTTTTTCAATTGTATTGTTAGAAAAGTGAGAGCCATCTGTAAACAATTTAGATGACATTTATTCTGAGTAAAAAGTCTGCTGATTCATTCCTAGATGACATGTATCTTTCAAGATGGAAAAGTTCACATAAGTAATCTGATCTTCATTGAGAGACAACATACAATACTGGAAGGCATGCCAGACTTGGAATCAGCAAGACCTAGGTACAAATTCTACATCCAACAATTACTACATGAGTAACTTGGATAAATCACTTAACCTATATGAGCCTCAATTTCTTCAGTTCAATTCAACAAATTGTTAAGTATCTACTAGTCAAAGACTTGGTACTAGGTACTACGGATAGAAAAAACCAACACAAAACAAAAAAATGAAAGGAATCTTTCCCTCAAGGCACTCACATTCTGCTTACTTACTTACAACATATATAGAGATAAGTAGATGCAAAGAAATTTCAGGAAGATGAGAACCTCAAAGAGACCTAAGGATTCTAAGAGATGAGTAAGGCAAAGAGGCCAGTTTAGGCAAAGGCACAGAGATAGGAGATGACAATTTGTAAAGAGGGCATAAAAGTGGTTGCCTATAGTACCCATTTCACTGGGGTGGTGTGAAGGTTAAGCTAGATGCCTAGAAAGTATTTTACAAATTGTAAAGTGCTATACAAATATGAGCTATCATAATCCTTAATACATCAGCATTGGACAGATATTAATATCACTATGTTATAGAATGACACAAGACAGAGAGATGGCTCAGAATTTCATAAGTCTGTCCCTGGGCTAGTGTTCTCCATCAAGTATTTTTTTTTAAGTTTGACAAAACAAAGCTGAGACAAGGATGCAACCAAGTGATGATAGCAAGGCAGCTCTTTCTCCCTCTTCCCTTCTTGCTTGTGGAATCCCATCAGCTAAGCTTTAACATTTTGTCAGTGTTCTCTAAAGTGACTTTGGTGAATGAACTAATGACAGAGCACAGATTTTCTTACACACACTTTACAGTGAGAAGTTAAACTATTATACCTGTACTTTGTGTAAGGAAGAACACCCAATATTAATATGTTTGCTCCTAATTATAGTAAGAGATATTTACAGATAAAGATTTTCAAAGAAGATTATAGCAACTTGCTCATTGTTTTTGAAACATAATGGGTTCTGAACATCTCTAAGACCTAGATCCCACATAATAAACCACATTTCTTATGCTGCCCCCTTCCCTCTGGTCTTTTATACACATCACACACACACACACACACACACACACACACACACACACAGAGAGAAAGAAAAAAGTGGTTTTTTTCCTCATTGGGATTAAGTCTCTATCATTCCATACTATTTTCCTGCTTTATAATAAAATTTCACCTGGAGAAAAGCTGGCAAAACTATGATGTACTTGGCAATTTAGAAGCAGGCAATTCACCCTTTCCAGGATTTCAAATGCCAAAGGCATTTCCAGGAAGGAGCATATTACCTTGGCAAGATGCAACATTCACAAGACTAAATTTAGATTTAGCCTTCAGTAACATCCCTTTGCTCCTAGGCCTTTGTTGTTGCAAAATTATCAATGAGAAACAGAGCATGAAGCAGAAGTAGCCAAGGAACTTGTTATTGAAACTGCATTTTAGTTTCCTAAGAAAATCTCAAATAATAGAAACAAATGCAGATCCAGTCCAGCTAATGTCCTTTTCCTCACTTACCTGCTCCATTTCCAAAGAAGCCAGGGATGAATTCCTTATCTTTTTTCTTTATTTTTGCTTATCCACTGTGACATGTTAATTATTGAATTTAAAGGACTAAAAGATGTAGTTGTGGTGATTTATAACTCAACAATGGGTCTCTAGGGGATTGGACCTGAAAATGAAAGCAGGATATAGCATCCTGAAGTTTCAAGGACTAAATTAGGGTAGGTCCCTCCTCCATCCTCTGAGGATCTCAGCATCTCTGATTTATCTCAATACACACAAGTTCCCTTCACCTTCAATGCTGTGAGGCTGTAAGTCCTCTACTAGATATGAGTCATTATCTCAATCTCAGTGGCGAATGGTAGTAAGAAGTAAACTTTTCGCAATCAAAAGTGCCAGGTGAGACACAATTAGGTTAAGTGCTTGAAGTAACAAGTTGAAAGTGGAATTATCCCTCTTCTGCCTTTTTCCCTCTTACTTCAAACACTGGAGAGCATTCCTTATTCTGAGGCAATAGCCTCATACTTTTTTCATCGTAAAAATGATCAAAAGATTGCATATGAAAGAGGGGACTCCTTCTGGATTGGAGCAACAGGGCCTGATAATTGATGCTATGACTTTTTTGACTGAAAAATGTACCTCAGAGGCCTTCCTTCTTATACTCTTCTAAGAACTTATTCTTTAAAAGTGTTCATAGGTTATAGATTGTATACTCTTTCTAAAATGTGAAAGTTATCTTTGCAATCACAACAGCTTCCGCAAAGCACTTTCCTTAAAACAATCTTTTGACATCATAGTGTAGGTAGTATTATCACCATTTCACATATAAAGAAACTGAGGCTCAGAGATCTCAAATTTTTTTCCACAGAGTTGGTAAATGGTTGAATAAGGAGCCAAACCTGGGTCTTCTGATGCCAACTCCAGTGCATTTTCCACTATGCTATGCTGACTCTGAGAAATAGGGACCTAAGGAAACAAGATAGACTTGTTATGGGTAGGGCACAGAAATGGCTGACTAATGACACCAGTGTCCTGTTTAATTAAATAACTCTGTTCTTAAATGTTCCTGTTGTTTGAAAGCAATGAGGGAGAGACAAAGAAATGCCACCTATGAGAGCAAGTTCACAGCCATATCCCGGTGTTGTTAAAATATATACAAAAGTATTTTGAAAATAAAAATCAACAAAGGAGAGAAAGAAGAGTAAATTTAATATAAAGATAGGAACTGGAGCTGAGGTTTCAATGATATAAGGACCTCCTACAGCAGGAAGCTCCTTCTACCGTTTTAGGATGGCACCTGGTCTACAGCTTATTGTCTTAAAAATTGACCTAGAACTACTCCCAAAGGGCTATAAAAATGTGCATACCCTTTGACCCAGCAATAGCACTTCTAGGGCTATATCCCAGAGAGATCATACAAATGGGAAAAGGACTCACACACACAAAAATATTTATAGCAGCTCTTTTTGTGGTGGCAAAGAATAGGAAATTGAGAGAATGCCCCTCAATTGGGGAATGGCTGAACAAGTTGTGGTCTATGAATGTAATGAAATACTATTATGCTATAAGAAATGATGAACAGGCAGACTTCAGAAAAACCTGGAAAGACTTTTATGGTCTGATGCTGAGTGAACCAGGAGAATATTGTACACAGTAACAGCCATGTTGTACAATGACTAATACTGATAGACAACCCTTCTCACAATACAAGTATCTAAGACATCTCCAAAGGCCTCATGACGGAAAATGCTATCCACATACAAAGAAAGAACTATGGAGTTTGAATGCAGATCGAAGCATACTATTTGCTATTTTTTTTCTTCTGTTGTGTTTTGTTTCCTCTTTCTTGTGGTTCCTCCTATTGGTTCTAATTCTTACTTACAACATCACTAATGTGAAAATATGTTTAATAGGAATGTATATGTATAGCCTATATCAGATTGCGTGCCATCTTGGGGCAGGAACTGGGAAGAGAGGGGGAGAAAAATTTAAAACTCAAAAGCTTATGGAAGTGATTATTGATAAATCAAAATAAATTAATTTTAAAAAATTGACCTAGAGCTCTGAGAGGTTAAGTGACTTGTCCTGGGGTCACACTGAAGGCTGAACTTCAACCTCCACCATCCTGATTCCACGGCTAGCTCTCTGTTCACTATGCTACACTGCCTGTGAATTGAGTATGCAACTCAAAGGAAAAAGAAAGAAAGAAAAGTGTTATACAACTATGAGAAATTGATCATTATTATTGAACCTACTTTATTCCTATCATTCATTAATTTTTACTATTTATTATTACTTGTGCTATCATTAATTAAAATAAATTAATTATTAATATTAAAAGTTAATTTCTAGAGGATGAGTTTTTCATTGATGTACCAAGTTACCACAGGCATCTTCCAAGATATAAGGGGACTATAATCTCTATTAAGGAGGGTGAGCCCAGGCTGAAGAACAGACAGATCTTCAAAAAATTGAAATATTGTTGGGCAGTATTTTGCTATAAAGAAATAAGATAGATTTTTAAACAAATATGCCAGAGCCCACACATCTAAATAAGTGCTGTACCTATCACAACAGTGACATTGAGATAATAAGCACTTATCCTAGTAAAGTTGATCTTCCTCAAACATTTCAGGATGTCTTTCACCTTTCAGAACTGCTTTAGAGCAAGAACTGAATAAGGAAACAGTCTCAGTATTTTATAATCCCCTCACTCTTTCTCTTCTTATCAACCATTCCCTCCTGCCCACCCCTACCCCCCCCAAAAAGAGTCTTAACATTTTGAATCCAACTTATTCACCAGATTTGGCTCTAGATGACTTTTAACTATTTCTAAAAATCAACTCTTTTCTTAAAGGAAGAAAATTTTCTATCAAGTAATATATGTTAAATATGTAGAGAAACTTATGTAAAAAGTAACATTATATATATATGTATATATTTATATTTAAAGGGTCTATGCCGCATATGCAGAGATGTATTTGTAAAATTAGAACTCGCTAGAAGAACAGGAACTGCAGAAATACAACCAAATGAATGTATTTCATGTATTGGTTATTCAATAGTAGGCCTGAGTTTGAATGGATGAAAATAACTTTAACCAACATCATGGTACTGGTTTCATAAAATCTACCTCCCTGCCCCTTGGTTTCTTCATCTATAAAATGTAAGTGCTAGATCTGATGGACCCCAACAACCCTTCCAGAAGTAATATTCTATGGTTCTATAATTTTGTTATCTGACTACAATGATGACTGAATTACTACTTATTTTAGGTCCATGTAGCCTTAAATTTAAACTCTCTCTTCCATGTATAAAACATAATAACATCTAGAACCAGTTGCTGAGTTGAGTAACAGCTGACCAAAAGATCTTTTCATTTCACTCTGAGTTTCTTTACATTTGCAAATTATTATCATTGAATTAGAAAGATTTCCTAGATTTAGTCTATATTTTTAAATGGTTCAAAATATGTCTCAATTGAGCTGTTTATGAAGATTATAAATGGCCTATTTAAGCCAGATTTCTGAGACAAGAACCTAATTTTACTCAACCTGAGTTTCTTCTACTGCATTCCCATGGGTTGTCTTTAAAAAACAAGAAAGCCAAGAGACAATGTAGCATAATGAATAGAGGGCCAATCTAAGTCTGGAAAACCTGGTTTCAAGTCCTGAATCTTACATGCATTGGCTAGGTAACCACAACTTTTCAATTTCCTGAACAACTCTCTAAGATATAGTTCCAGGTTTCCAGTATAGGTCTGGTGATGAATATATAGGTCTGTCATCTGAAGACCCACTAGGTTCAGAACTGTTTATCACCAAGTTGACTGCAGGGTGAAAGAGTTTTCCGCCATCGTATAGTTCTAATTGGTTTTTCTGGAGTACATACCCATACCAATGAAACCACAAATACTTGATGGATTGGAGTATTGCAGACATGAACATTGATTAGGGTGAGACATGAGTTATGTCTACGTATACAAACTAGTTGACGACACTGACTAATGACCCAGAACACTTAATTAATTGGTTTATATAGACAGTTTTACAGAAATGCCAAGATTACACAAATTTCGGTCAATAATCAGTAAGCATTTATTAAGTAACTATACAAAAATGAAACAATCCCTGCCCTCATGTAGTTTGTATTCAATGAAGGAAATAAGTCTATACAAAATAAGTACATGCCCAAAATAAATAAATAGAAGGTAGTTAGGAGGGGAGGTACTAGCAGTTAGGCTATCAGGAAAGGTTTCATGTAGAAAGTCCTGTTAGAGCTGTGCTTTGAAAGAAACTAGGTGTTCTAAAAGATAGAGTTGAGAAGTGAATGCATTATAAATAATGATTCTCTGGGATGAGGAGGAAGGAAAGTGTAGGTAATGTAAAAAGAAAAGATTTCAATAGAAGTTTATTTTAAAAAGAATATATAGGTCAATGATCATACTAATAATATGAACATTTACAATGAAGAAAATGGTAGAACTGATACTTCTAGTTTGCATTCTTTGTCAGCCACATTATAAAGTTTAAAACAATGATCAAATCTAATGGTTCCCATTTAGTGGTTAATGGGGCTCACAAAGATGGTTCAAAGGTTAAAAAAAGCTTTAAGAAATAAATAATTGCTCAATCATATTACAATTATATTTATACTGTGCCAATAAACACGCGTTTGAAGCATTATAAGTTTGTTTATGCAGTGATTGTTATCAGATAGTAGGCACTTAATAAATGTTTATTGAACTGAATTGAATTAACACAAAAATCTTGGTGATTGCATAATGATTGCATCAAACTCTGACTGCTTGTGATTAAGCACAATATATTCTTGAAGTTTCCCAACTTGTTATCAAGTTGTTTGCAAATTGCTATAAGGCTGTGACATTCAAGCACAAACTAATTCCCAATAGTCAGAACCATACAAATGTCCTCATTTGCATGTTGTACCTTATATAAAAGCAGCTCCCTGTAATCCTGCTTCATTATCTATGTAATGATACGATCAAGTGTTAAAATTATGTG